CATTTAATTTCACAAACCTTGCAAACTTAGTAGAATCCAGTTGAGATCTTGAGAAGTGTGCATGTGTATCCTGTATGATCGCATGTTCTCTGCGTGATGGTCGGTCTGTGCGAATTGAATGCGGACAGGAGGAGAGTTCAGCCTCACTGGAGATGCGTGATCGACAAAATTTAAACTCGTGATTTCAAATTATGCTGCACTTTATCCATTTACCCACTGTCATATTAATGTCATTTTCACTGTGTGCTGCGTGTAAAATGACTGTTACCTTGGCTTTATTTGAAGAAATATGATTCCCAATGCACACAAACTTCCCAGATTACTTAGTGCCCTGTTGGTTACAATGTTGACTTTTTATTAAATATTTATTTATTTGTGAAAAATACATTGTCATCTAAAGTATAAGTATGTTTATTTTACACATTTATTTTTAAATCCATTTTCAAATGATTTCAAATTTCTTAAATATTAATTAAAATAAATAAAATTATATCGGCTTTCTATCGGCCACCCTCCTTTCCAAGATATCGGCATCGGCTGTCAAAAAAAACAATATCGGTCGACCACTAGTTTTCTTTGACAAAAAAAACAAATAGTAAAGTTTTCTTTTTCACACACTCCTTAAAACATTCATCTTTTATAGGGAACTACAATGCATAACGTAGCAGGAGACTTTCTCCAAGCACTAACGCAAAGCAGATCAATACTTGGTCGAATTTTAGCTTATTATCAATGTCACAGGTGGAGCGAAGCCTCATTTTAGTTTAAGCAGGCTGTCATGTATGCTTATGCTGCAAGAATCGCTACTGATCTTGTATAATCGGCTAGAAAGCCACATCTCTATTACGGCCTGAACCTTATTTTGGAGACAATCACAGACAGGTTAACCACATGGCTTTCAGAAAACAGTGCACCTGACTCCTCAAGAGACTGGCACCACAGAACCATCTCCAGGAAGTCAGTATCATAAACACAGAGCTTACCTGGAGCCTTGAAAAACAAATGACTGTTATCACTTTATATATTTTACTTTATTGTTTATATATTAGCATTTGAAAATTAAAGTTTTTTCATAAATATTTTTATTAGTTCTTGTCTATGCATCTTTCATCCTCTGTCCTGCATGTTTTGTAGCACATTAGCATTAATAAATGACTTCACATTAGCATTAATAAGCTACATAATCTGGTGTCTCTGAAACATTTTAAATCCATTAGTCGAGTACTGGAGGATGAGTCAATGAATAGTAAATGTTTTTAATGTTGCATATTCTATGCTGATCTTATGTCCATAGGTTTTGTGCATGTGTGAACATGTTAACCAGGATAATTCCTTGTCCTCAACTATTTTGTAGCACATCTGCAATAATAAATTAATTTTTTTTTAAAAAGTATATTTTCCCGCTAAACAACTCCTCTTTTATCTTTTACCAGGTTTATTTATTATTGTTATTTTATTTATTTATTTATTTTTAGTCTATCTTTATTATTTGTAAATCACTTTAGATAAAAATGTCTGCTAAATTAATAAATATAAATCTCTAAAAAAATATGAAATAAAAATTTCAGTCTTGTTATGTGTCTGGTTCACTGTAGGCTTGCTGCGATAGACGGTGTTTTCGGTTATACCGGTGTTAAGCCGCAACACCGGTTATGTCATTTGCCTACCGCGGCACTGCCCCCCACCGTTGTTTTGATTTTTTTATAGTAACAAAAACCATTTAGCCTAGTTCAGTTAGAGGACAGACACTTTTAAAAACTAAAAGCTCAATGCAGCGTGCCGAACCGTGTGCGATTGGTTCCACAGTGTTTGCTGATTACTTTATTTAAACTTTGTGTATTTTATTTATTTTATTTTACATCAAGGTGTATATGCCGTGCCTACAAGCTTTCTTATTCGTTTTGCAAATAAACGTTCTATGTTTCTTATTTATTTGGTTCCACAGTGTTTGCTGATTTTCAAAGTTTTTTTTAAACTTTGTGTAGCGTAAGTAATTTGTTATTTTATTAGGCATAGGCCTATATGGTGTATTTTTATTCGTTTTGTTAATAAAAGTTCTGAGTTTGACGTTGTTGTTGCTTGAATTGAATCAACGCTTAATTGCCCCTAATTTGAAAGTGAAAGTAAAACGAGCACGCCGCTATTTCAAGCTATTTGAAAGCCAAGAAATCCGAGGAAAAGAGGGAAAACTCAAACGAACAATTGCTTGACGCCGAATTGCGGCAGTTGCCGCTAATTTGAAAGTGAAAGGTAAATTTGCACGGCACTTTTACAAGCCATTTGAAAGCAAAGAAAAGAGGGAAACTCAAACGAACTAACAACCCCACCCCCACCCCAACGGTGATACCGGTATTACCGGTGTTGTCACACGTCGATTAACCGGTGGGAAAATGTCCTCACCGTCACAACCCTAGTTCACTGGTGGCTCTAGATAAAAGGTGTATCTTCCACTGCTGTTGTGCAGGGCTCTGTGTGTTCACACAAAAGCACACTATGTGCTTTTCAAAAGCATGTTATCAGTAGGATAAAATGTTGTGCATCTACTTTCTAGATTATCAGATTAGTTTCATTATCAATAAGCCATCAGTGTGTCATTTTAATCAAAACTCTGCAACATTTCTTCTCCTGCAGGAAAAATTGGCATAGCACTCTTCCAAACATACATTTTCCGAGTAAAAGCTCCAACTGGGACTGTAAAGTAAACAAACAAACCACATCTCAAAATCATGTCTGAATCATAAAATGCTGGAAAACAGCCCTCAGGCCTTGATATTTCAGGGCAAGGAGATGCACGGTTAATCACTACTGTGTACCAACTAGTTTGTCCTTAGCAGACCTCTGGGAAACCCTGACTTGTAGAGTCAAACGCTTCCAAGCCCAGACACGTAATGCGTGACAGAGCTATTATCGGTCAGTTAACAGCTGCAATGTTTGATTGTGCCCCACATAAATGGTTGCGTAATTACACTGACAACATTTTTCATACACAGCATGTTGAATGGGGAGCCACTTTATTTTGTAAACGTCACACCAAAGGGGAAAGGAATATGGCCGACTGTAGTCAGCCCGTCTTTGGCCTCTGATGGAGAAATATGCTGAAATGTGGTCAAAGAGATGTTTGTCAATGTCAGGTTCAGTGCCACACATGACAAATAAACCCACACCTTTATCAGGCCAATCACTGACCTATAAGAAATTGGAAAATGTGCTGGGCCCAGACATCTGACATTAAGATACATATATACACCGTCTCACTCTCTCTCTCCCTCTTCTAATGCTGCAGTGAAACAACAAAGCTTTGCATTAGAGTTCACTGTACTAGCGCACTCAATCTACAGGCTTATTCAACCCACGCCACCACCCTCCCTTAATTCTTTGTCTTTTCATCAGTTGAGGAAACTAGATGTTCTTTAATCCTGCTGCTTAGGTAGTTTTATTAAAGGATTACGCTACCATGCCTAGCTACTACATTTGCTGTTACACACCGTAATTCCTTTGTCCAGCCAGTGTGCAGCTTTAAGTCTTGTCTTAACCTCTGTGTAGTCTGGCCTACTTGATTATGTTTTCTGTCTGAATATTCCTCCATGAACTAGTTGGATTTTAAATATCTCCAATACGACTTTGAGCATCTGGTGCTTCAATATATTAGTGCTATATTAACTGTGTTTCATTGATTTCCACAGGCTTTACAAACAACGAAGAGTGCTAGATCAGCCAATCAATGGATCGGTGCAAATTTGACATCTCATTTTGCCAGCAGTGAAACTCCTCATGTGTGCTCAGTCTGTTTGTGTACCACCTGACAATTCAAACAGCCATACCACTATAACTGCAAAATATATATAAATGTAAAGTCTTTATTATTTAGTTCTACCCTTCATAAGTTGTGTTAGATGTTTACACATTTACATTTATACATTTGGCAGATGCTTTTATTCAAAGTGACTTACACAAAGTACACATTTACATTTTAATTCCCAAAATGCTAAATAATAAGTTAAACCGATTATCTTTTTCAACAGTTTACACTTCACTTTTACACTGAGGAAGCTACATTATCATAAGAACTAAGAATCAGTTGTGTAAATTTTGTTTTATTTATTCATTAATTTTCTTGTGAAATATGTGTAAATAATTAGAGCTTAAACAGGGCAGTACCAAAAATATATATATACAAAATAAAAAATGTTTATGATCCATCTTATTTTTTCTAAATGATAAATCATTCTTTTGCAGAACCTGAAAAATGTTTATCATTAAAAAAAATAAGATGCATTATAAAAAGTTTACATAGTGTCTACTTTGTCATTGCACTGCCACTGAGGTCTTAAAGTAACCTGATTGGTTGCTGTGATTGGTTGATTACGTCACTGTTGATTATCCTGTCACTCGCAATAAAGCCTGCTTATGATGTGCGTACTGTAACTCTATTGCAAACAGATGTAACTTTGCCTTTTCATTTCAGATATCCATCACAAGCCATTGCATGCCACCCATGGAGATCGAGAACTTGTTGTTTCGGCAATGATTGTTCTTAATGGTTGCACCTGAAATTACATGCAGCGCTGCCGATTAGCCAGGTCAGTGCGTTCGGCAGATGTTCAGGCTACAGCTCTTTTGCTCAGCATGAAAAAGAGAGAGCAGAAACAGAGGTGGCCAAATAATCCACTTTGGCAACTGTCCAGTGACGGCTTGCTCACTTTTTTAATATAACTATACTTAGGTTTCCAACACCGACAAATAATGCATGATATGTAAGCACCATTGAAGGCTTAGTCAAAAGAAACCATATTTCCACTTTCCTATTTTGCAGTAAAAAAAAACAACCACAAAGTACCCAAACTCAAGTAAAAGTAACAGCTAGCAATCTGTAAGCAGATTTAATGTTTCTGACTAAGTTGGGTTAGTGGCCCTGTGGCGGATCTCCCCCGACCCCACCCTCCCTTGACGCTGGTAGCCGTGGCAGGCTGAAGGATGGAGCAGACTGGAGCAAATCTCACCTCAGGCAGCGGCATGCCGTTGATGATGAGGTCAGGCTGCTGAGGGCCCTGCCCTGTGAAGGTATGGTGGTAGCCATGGTTGGGTGCAGCATTCCTGGAGTTCTGGTTCTCCACGTTGAGGAAGGTGCTCTCGGAGCGCCTGCAGCCCATCGGCAGAGTCTGCTGGTGGTAGTCGAAGTAGTTGAGCGAAGAGGTGAGAGACGAGCAACTCACCACATTCATCTTGTCCGTCTCCTCCACGTCCCGCGGCACCAGACGGATGTCGTTCTTGCTCAGCTTCTTCTTCTTGCTGGACTTCTTCTGGTTGCCGTAGGAGTACTCCGCCACCCTGCGCAGGTACAAGAAACTGAACAGACTCAATAAAGCAGTGCTCTGCCTCTCTCCCTCTTCTAATGCTGCAGTGAAACAACAAAGCTTTGCATTAGAGTTCACTGTACTAGCGCACTCAATCTACAGGCTTATTCAACCCACGCCACCACCCTCCCTTAATTCTTTGTCTTTTCATCAGTTGAGGAAACTAGATGTTCTTTAATCCTGCTGCTTAGGTAGTTTTATTAAAGGATTACGCTACCATGCCTAGCTACTACATTTGCTGTTACACACCGTAATTCCTTTGTCCAGCCAGTGTGCAGCTTTAAGTCTTGTCTTAACCTCTGTGTAGTCTGGCCTACTTGATTATGTTTTCTGTCTGAATATTCCTCCATGAACTAGTTGGATTTTAAATATCTCCAATACGACTTTGAGCATCTGGTGCTTCAATATATTAGTGCTATATTAACTGTGTTTCATTGATTTCCACAGGCTTTACAAACAACGAAGAGTGCTAGATCAGCCAATCAATGGATCGGTGCAAATTTGACATCTCATTTTGCCAGCAGTGAAACTCCTCATGTGTGCTCAGTCTGTTTGTGTACCACCTGACAATTCAAACAGCCATACCACTATAACTGCAAAATATATATAAATGTAAAGTCTTTATTATTTAGTTCTACCCTTCATAAGTTGTGTTAGATGTTTACACATTTACATTTATACATTTGGCAGATGCTTTTATTCAAAGTGACTTACACAAAGTACACATTTACATTTTAATTCCCAAAATGCTAAATAATAAGTTAAACCGATTATCTTTTTCAACAGTTTACACTTCACTTTTACACTGAGGAAGCTACATTATCATAAGAACTAAGAATCAGTTGTGTAAATTTTGTTTTATTTATTCATTAATTTTCTTGTGAAATATGTGTAAATAATTAGAGCTTAAACAGGGCAGTACCAAAAATATATATATACAAAATAAAAAATGTTTATGATCCATCTTATTTTTTCTAAATGATAAATCATTCTTTTGCAGAACCTGAAAAATGTTTATCATTAAAAAATAAGATGCATTATAAAAAGTTAATATAGTGCCTACTTTGTCATTGCATTGCCACTGCGGTCTTAAAACAACCTGATTGGTTGATTATGTCACTGCTGATTACCCTGGCATAAAGCCTGCTTATCATGTGTGTAACTCTGTTGCAAACAGATGTAACTTTGCCTTTACATTTCAGAAATCCATATAATATAATATCCATATAATCCATAATCCTATGGAGATTAAGAATTTAAGTGCAAATCGTTGTTTCGGCAATAATTGTTCTTAATGGTTGCACCTAAAATTACATGCAGCGCTACCGATTAGCCAGGTCAGTGCGTTCGGCAGATGTTCAGGCTACAGCTCTTTTGCTCAGCATGAAAAAGAGAGAGCAGAAACAGAGGTGGCCAAATAATCCACTTTGGCAACTGTCCAATGACGGCTTGCTCACTTTTTTAATACACCTATTCCTAGGTTTCCAACATTGACAAATAATGCATGTAAGCACGGATATGTAAGCACCATTGAAGGCGTAGTTAAAAGAAACCATACAGTATTTCCACTTTCCTATCTTGCAGTATAAAAAAACAGTAACCACAAATTCCAGTAAAAGTAACAGCTATCTATCAGGTTGGGTTAGCGGCCCTGCGACGGATTTCCCTCGACCCCACCCTCCCTTGACGCTGGTAGCCGTGGCAGGCTGAAGGATGGAGCAGACTGGAGCAAATCTCACCTCAGGCAGCGGCATGCCGTTGATGATGAGGTCAGGCTGCTGAGGGCCCTGCCCTGTGAAGGTATGGTGGTAGCCATGGTTGGGTGCAGCATTCCTGGAGTTCTGGTTCTCCACGTTGAGGAAGGTGCTCTCGGAGCGCCTGCAGCCCATCGGCAGAGTCTGCTGGTGGTAGTCGAAGTAGTTGAGCGAAGAGGTGAGAGACGAGCAACTCACCACATTCATCTTGTCCGTCTCCTCCACGTCCCGCGGCACCAGGCGGATGTCGTTCTTGCTCAGCTTCTTCTTCTTGCTGGACTTCTTCTGGTTGCCGTAGGAGTACTCCGCCACCCTGCGCAGGTACAAGAAACTGAACAGACTCAATAAAGCAGTGCTCTGCCTTCCTCACTACTCGCACAGCCGGTGCCAGGTCCTTGCCTGGCTCGGGCTGAGGTGCCAGACCCATATTTAATGGTGGCACAAGAGAGAGCGGCCACATTCGAGCGACCTCCGGCCGCCAATGGAGCCGACGTCACTCATTTGTTTGCATTTCCATGCTCGGCGGCTCGACTTGTCACAAACACACATGCACAATGCAAACATGCCAAACCACAGAAGCACACACAGCGACAAATGATACTAAGCGTCACTGCGAGCATAAGTTATTATATTCAAAGTTAAGCCCGCATTTATCTGCTTTTTTTCGCTTGTGTTACAAACAAGCCCGCTGGCAGGTGGGTTGTGATTTTCAATTCTCTGAGCTACGCTCTGTGGCTACTGCTAACCTGATTTGAGGGTTTTGATTCTAATCATAGTAAATGAGAAACTTTGAGATCTTGCCCAAAGGATGCTTAGGTTGCAATCTAAACATAAACTTGAGTGCTCATAAGAAGAGTTGGTGTCTTTGTCTTAGCTATTCCACACTGACCCCTCTCACTTTTTCCCATGAGGATCATAAGATCTTATAGCCTGAAACAATCTTACACATTTCTTTTTATGTCCTCTGAAGGGCACACATTCGTCGTAACGTACGGCTTTGGCTTAATGGTACGCTCGCTCACTCTGCCTGCACAACACAAAGCTCCTCTTTCTGTGCTTTTCATTTGGATTCAGCCTGTGTCTCCCTGCTCCTTACTTTTTTTCTGGCTCGGAAAAATGATAACGGTGCAGGACCTTATCTTTTTAGGAGGCATCTAAAAGCTTTTTTTCTCTGTGCGAGTTAAAGCACAGAAAAAAAGTTAGGCACTCCAAAGCATGCTTAATAGCTGGTTGAAAAATTTACTGTTATGGCATTAAAGGAATAGTGATCTTTTTTTTCTGGTAAAGAGATAGTGACAAAACAGATTGTGAATATGTGAGAAGAGATTCAGAGCGATTACTTTATAAAGGCTCTATGTATGTATGAAGATAATTATTGTAATTAATAATATTAGATGCCATTGTCTGTGTTGTTTTATTAAACCATTTGTTTTTGTTCTGTAAACTGCAACAGCAGCAGGGTCTTTTATTTAACTGTGTTAATAAACACATGTCTCTATGGTCTGTTTGGTCATATCTGTTTGGCTCTCGTCACAGTGAAGACAATCCAAAGAATCTCAAATGAGCCAGAAAGAAGAGTCAATGAGCACAGCTGAAGAAAACCGTATCAAGCACTCTCACTAACCCCCTGTTGGGAGAGCTGAAAGCCTCCATCAGGTTTCTATCTGGAGAGGAAAATAAATGTTAACGACAGCAATCTAAACACAGGCCATCTCTAACCATCTTCCGATCACGGCAAGGTAGATGCTCTGCATGCCAAACCATCACTATCACGATCTAGCCTTCATGAAAATGTTCACTTACATACATTTCTGTTAAGCTGGATCATGTATGCTGTTGCATTACAAGACAGAAACATCAACAATAATTTGAGGTAAAAATATGGTAATGTTTTCTGGTTAAATTTGCAAAAGCAGTTTATATGGAAATATTGAGTGGTAATGAAGCAGAGGGAAATCAACACAGTGGCCAATGTTACAGATTGATAAGTATTCATATTGCAGTAGATTAACAAAATAATATTCTCCCCTACACACCATGTGTCAAAGACTATTACCATGCCAAACATTTGCATGATTTACCTTTTATGAGTGTAATTATTATTATGATAGTATGATCGCTGCCACAGTAACATTTGGTTGCTATGTCCATGCTATTGTATTTTGATACAATGACCTCTACGATCACAAACATAATATGTTGCCAAACCATAAATAAAATCTACAAATGTGAGCAACAAGTCAATATTTTGATTGGAATCAAAACAGAGGACCTAAAGGGCATAACATTTCACCAATAATTTATGCAAACACCAGTCTCAATGCAGATGGTGTGTATGAGGAAAGGCCTATGCTTACCCTTCAGTCACCATGTAAAGGCAATGGTACACGTTGATTTTACTTACCTTAGATGACTATCATTTCGCTTTATTTTTCTCTTGTTTACTTTTTTCAAAATCAAATAAGAATGACAATTTACTTTGGGATTGCTGGAAACAAAGATGATGACAAAAAATGTGCTGTAATATTTGTTTTGGTTTTGCTATTATATCTGCTATTTATTAGTTTGTTTTTTGTCATATTTTTATTTTAAGCTCATGTGAGGCTGTCCTCATATATAGCATCATAATTGATGAATAAAAAGAAAATGTTATCGTTTTAGTAATATTTACAATAGTGTAAATATAATAATCATGATGAACAAGTGTAATAATGATTTCCTGTTATGCTTACTTCTGTTATCAGCAATGGCAGCAGCAGAGCAAGGCCTGAAGCACATTCACAGTTGACGACACAGCACGTGCACAACCAAGATACACATCAAACATGCTCTATCTTTATGTCTTAATCATTGTATGCTGTGTGAGTATTGATTCATTTCCGGTAGAAATGCAATTATATGCTTGATAACTAGACCAGGGTGCGAATTATGGAAGGGTTGGTGAGGTCTGACCTGATAAGTAAGGCCTGAACACCCACAAGTAAAAAAAAAATATATATAGTTTTACATTTACACACATTTTTACATATTTTATCTTAGACAATGTTGAGGAAATGTCTATCAGTATATTTTTTGGGTCAATTATTGGAGGTTAGTTTGTCTCACAACAGAAATTGTTCTTTGGTGCCCCTAAACTAACGTCAACTACTTAAAATGAGTTAAAAACAACCTTTTTGTTGTTTTTTATATGACATGTAAATAATCATCGATAAGGTTGCTAATGTTAAATGTGATACAACAAACAGTAGGCCTGATTATGTTTTGTCTATATTCCATACTGACCATAACGTTGAGACCTCGAGTAAAGTACTGTTGCTATGGTTACCACCTCAGGCCAACGCAATTTCTGTTCGTGCGCAAGTGTTTAGCGCAATCTGACTTCTATGGTTAGGCCTTTTGTTGATTCTATTTCGGTTTTGTGGTTACCTTTAAATATTCGTCCCATCCGAAGGTCAGTAAATAATTCGCACGCTGAACTAGGCTGTGTGTAACTTCAATCAATTGTATCAAAAATTGTTTGGGTACCTGCAGTTGTATGTTCGGATTTCCTTGTTATCCCTTTTGCACTTGACTGCCACAAAGATCATTGTGACAAACAGGATGACTGCAATAGAACCCAGGGCAATGATGAAAATGAGAGACAGGTTGACGGGTCCGATTTGCTCCTGTGCATTGAGATTAGAAGAGAGATAAATGACAATATAGGCAGAGGCAGATAGAGAAGTTTGGCCGTGGTCGTGCGCCACCACGGTTATTTGATAGGATGGTTTCGCATTCTCCGCAAACGTCTTTGTGGTTCGCACCTCGCCGTTTATCTGATCTATTTCAAAGTATGCCATGTCTCCTTCTGAAATTGAATACGTTAACCTTCCATTTTCCCCCTCATCGTAATCATCAGCTTTTATTTGTGTAACCAAATAACCAACTCCAGCATTTTTAGGAATGGACACCTCCGCCGTGCCGTTCACGAGGGGCGGGGTGGTCATCACAGGTGTATTGTCATTTACATCCAGTACAACAATGCGCACGGTGGCGTTGCTGGTCAAAGGTGGATCTCCCCCATCCTTTGCAGTGACTTTAAACTCAAAGGTCCGCGTATCTTCGTGATTAAAAGCCCTAACGCCGTAGATTTCGCCGTTTGAGTTCACGGTAACGTAAGATTCCACAGACATGCCCCGCACCTCCGATTTGATGATTTCGTAGGACACAGTGCCGTTCATGCCCAGGTCAGGGTCCCTGGCGGACACCGCCAGCAGAAACGCACCTGGGACGTTATTTTCGAGGACCATGGCTTGATAATGCGGCTTGGTGAAGTACGGGGGATTGTCGTTTTCATCCGTTACTTTCACTGCAAAAGATTTTGAGCTTCTGAGCGGGGGATACCCGCTGTCCTCGGCTAGAATGGTCAAATTGTACATGTCTCTCTGCTCCCTATCCAGACGGCCATCAACAAGTAAGGTGGAGAAGCTCTCAAACTCGTTGAGTCTAAAAGGCACATTGCCCTGCAGTCTGCACTGCACTTTTCCATTCGCTCCCGAATCACTGTCTGAGACTCTCACCAGAGCTATTACATATCCGAGAGGAGCGTTTTCGCTCACCTCCACCATCTCGCTGTTTTCTGACAACAGTTTGATTTCTGGCGCGTTGTCGTTTATGTCGATTACATTAACAATCACTTTGCAGTGGGCAGGGATTGAATTTGGACCCAGATCTTTGGCTTGTACATCAATTTCGTGGACGGACAATTCCTCGTGGTCCAAAACGCCATTCACTGTTATCACGCCTGTTTTGAGGTCGATTTTAAACATGTGTTTGGTCAGGTTGGAGACAATGTTTATGAATGAGTAGACCACCTCGCCATTGGTTCCTTCGTCTGGGTCCGTAGCGTTCAAGTCTATGACTAACGTGTTAATGGGAGAATTCTCCAGCACGTTTACAGTGTATACTGGCTCATCGAAAACGGGGTTGTTATCGTTCGAGTCAATTACTTTTATGTTAAGTTGCACAGTCCCGGACTTTGGGGGGTCTCCACCATCCTCCGCTGTAAGTTCAAACGTGTAACGAGACTGCGTCTCTCGGTCTAAAGTCTTTTCCACCACAAGTTCTGCGATTTTGGACCCGTCTCCCCTCGTCTTAATCTCAAGACCGAAAATATCATTAGGGGTAATTGTGTACGTCTGAATGCCGTTGCTCCCAGAGTCCGGATCGCTTGCCCCCTCTAGGGGAAATCTGGTACCGGGAGCGGCGTTTTCCGAGATTTCTATGTCAATGTGGTTAGTGGGGAAGCGCGGCGCGTTGTCGTTTACGTCGATAATCTCAATTTTAATCACGCAGATCTCCATCGAGTTCGACATCACTTCCAAAGAAATAAAACACTTCGGTGTCTGTCGGCAAACAGCGTCCCGATCAATTTTTTGCTTTGTGATGAGCAGTCCGGCGGGGCTCAGATTAACCCACCGGGGCTCGGAATTGGAGATAACCCGCAAATAAGGCTGTCGGTTTCCCAGTGCAAAACCCGCAACTTTTGCGTCCGCCGTCACGTTGGCTATCTTTGTGCCTGCACGCAGCTCTTCTTCCACTGTGTATTTCAAATTGAAAACGGCATCGACTCCAGTCCAGCACAAGAGAAAGCACAAAAACATTTGTATGAAATCCATGTCCTTGGAATGCATTATACCTGTTGATGTCTGTCTTCACACGCTCATTTGCATGATCTTTTATTAACATTTAAACCTACGCACGTTCGGTCGGACGTAAAAAAAAGAAACTCCCAATAAGTCAAAGGAATAAAATCACAGTCTGGTAGACATCCTTTAAAATGAACGAAAATGTTTATATCTGCGATGAAATTCATCTGATTTACTGATTACGCAGCTGATAACTTCCATTTACTTTATCGAGATCTTATCCGGCCACCCATGTCTTGCATTATTTTTGGAAAAGGAAATATGAATAAAACTAGTGAATAATTCTTCATATAGTGAATGTGAAAACATTGTGAACGAAAAACATGGCTTCAACATGAACATTTGCGTAGTTCAGGGTAACCGAGATGTAAACCGACCATTTTGAGCCAGTGAAAGAAAATATTCAGTAAAAATGTAGGCTAAATGTCCGCTAGAAGGTCCTCAACTTGTGAATGAATGAAGGGAAGGATCCAATTCAAAAAAATGTGCCCTCCTTATCATGATTCCCGACGAACACTTGAAATTAAATTGAGTTTAAAACATCGCTCGTGCCAAATCAATCCATATAATAATGTGGAGTTAGGATGTCTCCTCCTTGATCCGCACGTCCATGCACATATCCAACTGAAACCACAGAGATTCCAATTTCAGAAAAAATAAAAAATAAACAGTCCGATCTCTGAAGCTGGAACAATGATGGCAAACCAATATTAATAAAAGATCAGTCCAGTCCACAATTCACTGATATTCCCAGTCGAGCAAGAGGTGGGTGCCTTGTCCACTGAAGATTTCTCTCAACAAGCGTAACTTGTATGAAGGTATTTCAGATGGCCTTAGTCCAGAAAGAATGAAACTATAAAACACTGAGAAAAGAACAATGAAGAAAAATCAAGCATTTGTAAGTGCACCTGGGCTCTTCTCGCCGTCAAAAAAGCGTCTGGTCTGAAATATCCAGCCTGTTGGATGAAGCGAAATAGTTCTTCATATAGTTCTTAAATGCGGCTCACTGAGGTAAACGCACGGCGCGCGTCTTCAGCGCATACTGTCTCAGTGTCTCGCGCTCAGTCTCAGGACCCGCAATCCCCACAGCCAATCAGAGGTTACACTGGAGAGCTGCATTTGCTGGTGGGTGGGGCAAAACTACAGCTATGAACTCGGCCAACTAGCACCAGTTCATGCAACGCACAGCGTATGTTAACCGTTCTAGTTATGTCTGAACATACAGTGTGTCAATACAATTATTGACTTTTGGGAGGGTCAACGTTTTATAAGGAATTTCCTTAAGAAATGTTGGGGGCGCAATTAGTTGAGGTTCACACAGCACATATAGTGTATTTTTTAAACAAAACACTAAGTTCTTGTTACATATATTTTTGAAACATATAAATCCATAATTGACAAATAAATAAATAAATACTAACATTATTTTAGCCTACTTGTTTTGCGATTTTTGTTCTCGGTTTAATTGAATTTGGTCTTGATTTAAGTTGACCCTAATTTAGAATAGGGTAATGATGATGACAGGTTTAATGTTTTATAATCAATGTATTCAAAATTAAGTTGATATTTTCTTTACCCTAGCCCACTGGGTGCAGCTATATACTATTTAATCCGCTGACAGAAAGGATCGCACACAGAATAGTTTTATTTTTTATTTATTTTATTGTTTTATAGAAATATGAATTTCAGATCCGTCATATCCGAGTAGCCTATTATCCACGTTAGGCCTATACGCCCAACACGGTTACTTTCGGCAAGTACGTATTTACTTGTCTGTACGAGATTTAATAAGATATAAAGGTTATTCACGTGTTGCTCTAGTACTAGTGATTAAATATGTTCTTTATTGACAGTAGCTGTGTTAAGAAATATTAATGACAAACATGCCTATGAATGGGAGCACAATATAAACACTACTGTTTGCGTTTGGATCTGCGCCTTTCGCTCCCATTACAGATGACGACAATAACATATCAATCTCTCTCTCTCTCTCTCTCTCTCTCTCTCTCTCTCTCTCTCTCTCTCTCTCTCAAACACAGAGAGAGACAGAAATAGAGGCGCGCTCGAGCGTAACGTGATATGAAATGCTATGAGATTGAGGCAATAATAATAATAATTTATTATTATTATTATTAATATCATAATCATTGCACGTTTTCTGTCATTACTGAATATTCCTCGTCAGTATAACATAGGTCATATTGCGCCGTTTTTATATTTTTAAATTCCTCTGTATCTAGCTCATGAACACGCAGAGTCAGGAGTCATGAGCACACATGACAGCATGTTGAGAGTAAATCGTGTTTAAAGTCACAAGGCTGACACCTAGCGGCCGACACCACTTTCACCTCATATATGAAGACAGTAGTTTTTTGTTTGTTTATTTATTTATTTGTTTGTTTTTGCTCGGACTTAAATATTGGAAAATTAAAAATCGAAATTTGCAAACATATATTGGTGCTAAATTATTTTATATCTGTACATTTTTCTAAACAATTACATTTTTTCATATACTTCTATTTCTGTATATAGTACATTATTTAATGTTTTTTTTTACATTAGTTTTATATTACATCCCTACTATATTATTCCTATGTATGTCTGCACTATCATGTATGTCTGCACTATGTTTGTACTTTCTTCTACACTGGAAGCTCCTGTCATCAAGTAAAATTCCTTGTGTGTGTAAACATACTTGGTAATAAAGCTCTTCTGATTCTGATATTAACATGGTCCTTAGTTAGTTAGTGAGTTAGTGAAGAAAACACTGATATGAGTGATCAGTGCTGTATATTCCTGAGAGGTGGAATCCATAATATTTTACACCTGTCTTGTGTCATAGCATATATTTTTCACCTGAATGCTTGAATATGTCATATGAGGTTGACTAACCACAGAGACATTGCTTCTTTGTTTGCCATACAGTTCTCAAGCAGTCATATTCATGAGCAAGCACAGATGTCATCATCTTTAAATATTCCAGTTCATGTTTGTTTCCAGTTTGCAAAGCTTTAGGGAGAGCTGTCAACCTATTACTCTGTTGACTGTTGAAACTTGCCTAGCTTCCAAAGCAAAAGCAAGATACCGAAGGTGTATTTTCACAGCTAGATTTATCCTCTTTAAAAAAAATCTTAATGCTGTAGAAAGAGGATGATAGTTGTTTTTCCTCTAGCCTTTTAAAATTGAGCTGTGGTATGTTTTATCAAAAGTCCTCTGAAGGAGGTTTGTATATGTGCAATGGACTCCTGCTTGACGAGTTGTTTGTTATAATGTGAGCTCACAGGTTTTGACGCACACCTTCACTTTGGCATGAAGGTTAATAGATTTAGCTGTTTTGGCAATGTCAACACACACCTGAATGCATTACCCTACAAATTGAGTTTTCTTGCATGCACCGCTGTTACAAATATGCTCAAATTAAGAATTTGTTGATTACTTTTGTGCAACTTCTGATTTCATTCGTTCACAGAATCCTTTGTGATATGACAGCAGCATTTTGAGGTTTTGATTCTGCAATAGTAAATGATGCATATAGATGGTGGTTTAATCTTGCTGTGTTTCATTGGTTGTAATGGAGCAGAAATGACCATCAAAGCTAGAGTGAATTCAGCCCAGTGTAAAATGGACCCTGCATCAAAAAAGCTAAATAAATAATAACATTGCATAGCAACCCAATGCTTTGAAGTTCTTGGAAATGAAGTAAAACATTAGTAAGGTAGAACAAAAAAAAACAAGAAGGGGAAGGGAATCTGTCTTTGTAGCTATCTGGCTGTCCAGATATATTTCCGTATGAACAATGTTGCTGCAGTGTTTTCTGCCAAATACCCCTCTAACTGCTTAGACCCTTTGTGTGAATTGCTAAGTAAAGCAGCTCAAAGGTGCTCACAGGCTGCAGCCCAAGCTACTTTGTGCAGCGGCAGCCACTCAATCATGCAGTGGTTTTGAACTTCTTTAAGACACTTTTTTGCTCCAAGCCTTGAACCAACACTTTCCACAGTACATAGAGAATAACTGATTTGAGGCTATATTTTGCTGGTAAAGCATGGCACACTTCTATAGCCGGTCCCTTCTGCTCACTTTGAAAGGAATATCTGAGCTCGGCTGATATGTTGCTGTCTTATTACCCTTACTGTGCAGTAGCCTATACTAGTGAATAGCATGTGCTCAGTGAGATTCAGACCTAGGTGTCCACTGGAAGAGAGAGAGAGAGAGAGAGAGAGAGAGAGAGAGCGTGATTTATTCGAATTCAGATTAGATGGAGGCTCTTTTTTGGTTGGATGTGACTACAAAGAGGACAACTCCATTATGGTCTTCATCTTAGTGTATTTCGGGTGTTTGATTTCCTCTAATGATCATGGCTGGAAGCAGACAGCAAGATGACTGACAGGCCCATCTTCAGCGTTGCCTTGCCCTGCTATCTATGCCTTGATACATTGTGTTAAAACATTCTCTCTCCATTTGAGCCCCCTGCTAAGCTGGGAGGGCACTGTTGCATCAGTGATGGAGCTCTCGATATTGAAATGTTTGTTGTCTGTCTCTTGGTAGAATTGAGTGACAAAGGGCAGTCGTTTTATTTACTCTGAGAAGAGATTTGAATTACAGACGATTCATTTTTAGCACATTGTTTGTGTTTGTATCTAAATATTTTACTTTTGTTTTGTATGCATATATTTGTTAGGAGATTGAGTGTTGTTTCCAGAGACTCACTGAGCACTATTAGAATCTTGTGCTCCTTGCTGTGTCTTGTACAAACTGCTAAGCAGAGGTCATGATAAAAGATTTGGTCTATTGAGCCGAACTATACCCTGCATTGCTGATGAGGACCTTGAAGCACATCCTTAAATATTTTATTGACAGTAAAAAGTACACAGGAATAATTCTCCAGCTTAGCCTTGTCTTTTTTATTTGGCCATAGCCAGACTGTGCAGGTGAAACTATTTAACTATTGATACATAATAATAATTGCTTTAAATACAACAATTTTTTCTACTGGAACTTCTGAAAGCTATTATAAGGCGTTGAGAGGTTTTAGCGATGGCTGTATTTAAGATTTCATTAGGAAGAATAAATTGTTTATAGTGTGAAATTAAACTTCTGTTAACTGTTGTTGGCAACTGTTTACACAGCCTGAGTAAAGACTGGCACAATACCAGAAAACCATTTGCTTTAGTCATCATTTTCTGACAGTGTATACTGTGTCATGTTCTTGCAGATGTTTTACTTTGAAGATATCAAAAAAAGAAGAAAAATAAGTCATAAATATGTTTGCATGTATTTAGATTGGGAACTTGTACTATGCTATTAGATTAAGGCTAAATGAGCAATTAGTCATTTCAAATGATGAAAATAATATGGCCAGCTTGGCCTTGTGATATCAAAGACTTGCTATCAGCACAAGCTGGAGAGGGAATACTTAAGGGATGAAATGTACACAGTTGTGCCAGTCATGTCGTAGGATTCATCACTGTAACTGGCACTCAGCACAGCTGCAACCAATTAGATTTCACTCCACTCTAGGCCCAAACAAGATTGAGCTGTATTCACACTTCATTGTGGAACTTATGACGGCTGCAATTAAGACTAATAATTAGTAACCCAACATCCCATTTGCTTTTAGGATGACGTGTTTAAGAGCACTGTGCTCTATTTATGCAAGATTAATTTGAATATTTCAGCATTTAGATAGCAATTAATACATGTAGTTCTACCATCTTTATGGCAAATTTAATCTCTGTAAGACTCATGTCTCTCTAATTGCCATAATAGCTTTTAATATGTACCTCTTGATGGTATGAGTTTTGAAAGCTGAAATAATTTAATAAAATACTCTTAAAGGAATAGTTCATTTGATGATGTGATCATCAAACCTATATGCATTGTGTTTTTCTGACAAAAGAAGGTTTTTTGGAAGAAAAAAGATTGATTAATTGATTGACAGAAAAAAAAGCACTAGGATTGGTCATACAATTTATTAATTGCAAGTGTTAGTAAACGTTTACAGAACTTTTATTTTAGGGTAACCTATA